AAGTGGCTGGAGATTACATCAGAGCACAGAGGAAGGACCCAAAGGTAAAATGGACGAGGCTGCTTCATTAGCTTCACCATGCAGTTCACGCCACAGTGTGGAGAGGTCTGAGCTCTGGGATCTGTTTAAACACTCAACCAATTAAGCAAACCATTTCAGAGCTGTTGGCAATCTCCCCATGCTAACTGGCCCAGAGTAGGGGCATCATTGTCATGAAAACAAGGCCGGGAAGGCTTTTTAGACGGGCACTTTTCACACTGGACCGTGCCAGGCGTTACACCCATCTGTTTTTGAAGCAGACACACAGAGGTGACTGTTCAAACTTGTACCGCTCCAGTGGCTTCAACACAATTCGAGGCCAGAGATTTAGCCAGAGTCCCAGAGCTGCGACTCAAGACATAGAGGTCACGTCCAGAGCTGCTTCCTTCACAGCCCCCCCCCCTGGCAGCTGCACAATGCAGGTCTGACGTCGGGGGGGGGGGGCTGATGGTGGGCTGTGTCTGGTAAGAAGATGATCTTGTGTCTCTGTGTTGGCGTCGGTCCGGGAGACGCCACGTCACGGCTTTACGAGGTAGAGCCGAGGAGCAGTCGAGCATTCATCCGCTGACGTCAACAGCACCCGCTTGGGATTCACACACTGAGGATTTAGCAGAGTAATAGAGACGCAGTCGTTTCGGGGGCACCGTGTGGAACAAGTGTCGACACACTCTCTGTATCCACGAATCTGCCCGAAGATGTATGTGCTGCACTCTGTAGCAACAGCAGCATGTCGGCAGTGGTACAGTTTGAATCGAGTACGCTGGCAGTAAAAGCACAGGTGATGACATTCTCTGGATCTGAATGTGGATGATATTCCATCTTAAATCATTAGTCAATTAGTAAGACATTGGAGACACTAGTCAGTCATATTATTGTGTTGGGAAGAAAAAATACAAATAAATAATCAATATCAATAGTTGAAATTACTTCTGGATGTGCAATAAAACAACCCTGTGTCCTGAACAAAATTAAATTCCCATAAAACTGAACTGCATTCTGTATTACGTGATTAGGCCGAATCAGGTGAGACAGGTTTAAACACCCGTAGACGTGTCATGGAGTGAAACAGTTGGGTCATGGTTATACATTTGCAAACATCAATGTGTTGATAGATCAGAATTGTAAAGTGGTATTGTGCTGATAAATGTTTGAGTTTTTGAGATTTTAACTAAAAAGAGTTGATTCATTACTCATAATTTAGGTAATAAAAATATTAACAGTGACTAGCAGCACGAGATCATGAGCCCTCCAATGTTAAAGGGTCATTATCCTCCCTTTTCATGGCTTTATGTTAAAGCCTCTCCTTCATTCTTTGGCACTGAATGCTGGCAGCGAACATCAATCGTTGCAGATCAAGTGCGTATGAACTGAATTTGTAAGGGTTACTGATTGATGGGTGGGAGCAGCAGCAGGAAAGCCTAACACACTGTGTGCATCTTAGAAAGTATAAAGAGCAGTTTCTGTGTTTATTCCTCTAATGTTTAATCTCCTGCGACTTGTTATTTTGTATCTTTCTGCCCTATATCACTTCACAATATCTAATTAGGTCAAACTGTGTACAGCCAGGATGCTCAGCTTCACACTACATGTACATGAGTGTGTGTGTGTGTGTGTGTGTGTGTGTGTGTGTGTGTCTGTTTCATATAATATTTAAAACCAGTCCGGATGCTTAACTACATTATATTATGCGATAGTGTTCACTGACACAATCAATATTATACAAATTGTCATCAATGCGATTCATTAGTTTTGGGTGTTAAAGTTGCAGTGTGTAGCATTTAAGGGGCTCTATTAGCAGAAATGAAATAATATATATCTTTTCATTAGTGTATAATCACCTGAAATGAAGAATTGTTGTGTCTTTGTTTGCATAGAATGTGTCCATATCTACAAAGGGAGTGGGTCCTCTTCACAGAGTCCACCATGTTGCACCGCCATGTTTCTACAGTAGCCCAGAACGGACAAACACTGGCCCTAGAGACAGCCTGTCACGTTTGTACGCAATACCTGAAGGCCACCGTAGTGCACTTACAGGCTTGGAAATGGAGGGGAGAGAGGAGAGATGTTCATTTGTACGCAATCTGCAACTGTAACACTAGATATCATCAAATCCTATATACACACTGGTGGAAATCTAATGAAAATGTCTGTGGCATATCCAACCCTGACTGAGGAAATGTTTTGTCTATTTGAAGCTAGAATAAATTGATTGTTGCTGCTGTTTGTAGCTTTCATCGAACAGCTTTCTAGTGAGGACTTGGTTAAATATATCAAAAAGAGGCGACATGAAAAAAGACGTGGTTACTTATATTCAACCGGACCATGAATCTTTCACTTTCTGCTTTGAAATTCATATTCATGAAGGTTAGACCTCTTCTCTCGGCTGTGCCGTCATCAGCTGCTCCGACAGAAAACTTCAAATATGGGGGAAAGACATTTGAAAGCAAAGAAAGCTAAATCTATGACAATAAATTGAACTTAAGCTCATCTCCATTAAATCAGAAATGTTCTGCTCAATACTTAGCTGGTGTTATGAGCTTTAGGCATGCTGACAGAGGACTCAAGGGGGGTGAATCATCAGCCTGCAGATCTCTTGATATCTGGCTTAACTCTGCACATGTGTTTTGGCAGTTTGTTACAGTTTTCATGTGTTTTTTTTAAATGGTCAAAAGCAGTATATTAATGTTTGTCACCCCCGCAATTCTCTGTAAGGACTAATTTCCCACTAGGGTTTTAAGACTTCCACATTCATATTCGTACTGCTATGGTTAACCCAAACATCTGTATTATATGAAAAATATGCTCAGTTTGACTGGGAGCACAAAGCATAACTCATCCAGTATATTAGTAGTTAGTGTATGTCCTTTTTCATTTCAACACTTTGTCCATCCGAACAGCTCTCTGATTGTTTTCGTACAACTTGCAGCTGTCGTCCACCATCTTCCCTTGAGCTCATCCCTCAGTTTCTCAGACAACCCTTCAGCTCAAGAGTGATGACTCACATTTAACAACAGTAGTAAAAGATCGCTTTCCTCACAGTTTTTTGAGGAGAGGGGAGGAGAGGGGAGGGGAGGAGAGGGGAGGGGAGGGAAGGGGAGCATGGAGGACCTTCTCCTTCGTCAAAGATTTAACAGACATGAATAATGCTGAATAAACAATGAATAAATAATGAGAGCGCATCCTTATCCATCGTTCCTGCCACACACTGATCATTGAATTATTGATGCAGACACTCCATACGCTTACTTCAACTATATGTGAACGACTTCACAAGTGCACGAACATCAGGCCTCGACACCTGTTTGCTGAATTTATTCATGTGAAGCTCCACCTGTTGCCGAGTCAGTTTGCACGCTGACTCACACACAGAAACTGCAGGCAGATCATACATTGTATCCTTTAACGGTAGAAAAAAGACAATTCAAAGAAGCTCACCGAGGGTAAGAGGAGGAGGAGGAGGGTGAGGATCAGCGGGCTGACGTTAGCAGCAGACATGTTGTGTTTCTCAGTTTCCTCTCAACATGGAGCTCTGAAAGCCGGACAGACGGACACAACAGGACAGGTCAGCTCACCTTCCCACCTGAAAAACACAAGAGTGTGGGACATCAACACACTTTGTCCACATTTCGTCCACATTATATTGGACCAGGACATAAACATGGCATTACAGAGTATCTTTCATAAAAGTGTTTGTGTACATCTTACCAAACTTGAGAGCAATCGGAGAAGATTTGAACAGGAGAAAATGTTCATGAAATCTCCATTTATACCTGGATCCGTCTGTGTTCAGCTCTTTAGTTTAACTCCTGCACGTCTCCTTAGAGATATCAGCCTTATTTTACTCTTTACTGATCGCATTCAGTTGTATCTGAACTGTTTTAAATTGCTTCTGATGCAAACAGAACACTGTTGAAGAGGTTATAGGAAATGCAGTTTTACCTTAATCTCAGAAAAAGTCTAGAAATATTAGATACTTATAGTTTGTGAGAAGAAGAGTTGAACATGATAGCAAAGCATGCCCTATCTCTCAGCGTTTGGAATTCCTTTCAAAATTCCTGGATCAACATCAAAAAATGAATCCCTTGTTACTCGGCACCAGAAAAACACTGTGTGTGATCTCAACTAAGTTTGTTTGAGTGTGAAACTAAACTAACAACTAAAGTCTTTAAAAAAAAAATATATATATATATATATATAAACATTTCCTAATTCCAGCTTGTCAAACATGAGGATTTGCTGTTAAATATCTAAACTAAATATCTTTGCATTTTGGACACTTGGTTGGGTTTTTTAGGAGACATGTTTGACATGTTAGAGACTAAAACAGCAGATTATGGAAATAATTAGTTGCAGCCATACATTTGTCACTCTGACTTTTCCATTAAGTTTACACTGAAATGCAGCTTGAAAACCCAACAAATAATACTACTAATGTTGTGATTCCCTTTTGCTAAATATTCACTTACAACTGCAGGCATTCTATTGCAAAGATGTTGTCAGCCTATCAAACGATTGGCTTTTCAAATGGTACATGTTGAACGCAAAGCATGTCAAGTCGCGTGTCTTCGATGAGCCCGTGTGCATGTATCTCATTGATGCAGCCTGACTCTGCAGGCCCGGGGGGGCTCGCATGAGCAAAGCCAAGTAGCAGGACTGAGCAGTCGGGCCGCGTCCCACAGGGAGAGCTTGGCAGCTTAGCATTCCTACTTTACCAAAACCCTGCCAGCAGCAAGCCCCTCCTCCTGCCGTTGTCAGTAGCAACAGCTGAGAGAGCTGCTGAGTTTGGATCTGAACTGAACCACGTGGACCTGGAACTTCCTTCTGCTCCGTCTTCTGCTCTGCCGTAAATAGGTTCCATCCCATTTCATGATGTACTTCAGTTTTTAAATGATGGCAGACATTGAACCTTCATGGGAAATAAACTCAACCTTCCAGTATTCCACATTTGCTTTGAGTCCTGCACGCTGAATATTAATGCCTTACAGCCCCACACAGACAGAACCTTCATTCATATTTTTGCTAGAGTGAGTCACAGAAGGACACACAGACACACACACACACACACACAAAACAACATAAAAATAACAAGACACAACATGAATGGGAGTCTGCAGCTTTGCCAAGGCCACCATAATGGCTGCTGATGCTCTTCAATAGAAAAGCTTTCATGGGGAGTGCTCGAGCAAACTGCCGTCAATTCACTTCCAAGGAAAAGAAAAGACGCTCGCATGTTACCAACCACCAAGACACTGATGGTGTCTCACCCTGCTACAGTTGGAATTGTCTCAGTGTGTGTGTGTGTGTGTGTGTGTGTGTGTGTGTGTGTGTGTGTGCGCATGTTTAAAAAACAAGAAGAAAAGCAAAGAGAAAGCTAAACTATAAGTGAAGCACTTTTGGAACTCAAAGTGGAAAGATTGCATTATTTGTTAACCTCCCACTGCACTATAAAACGTCCAAACGATAAAATCATTGCTCATTTTATAAATAATCCCAGTGATTTAATATTGTCTTTCTCTCCAGAACTTAAAGCCCGCTGCTTACACTTACAATTGCACCCTTTATGTACATGCACCCTTTATGTACATCTGCCCCACATTGTGCAGCAATAAGGGATGTGATGTTAGTGTCCAAAGTGTCTCACGTGTTTGTTTTTTCCGTGACAAAGCGTAGTGTGGAGGGCTCATCCGGGGTTCCTCTGGTGAAAGAACTTGTAGTGGACTGTTGCCAGTCAGTCATGTAGTGTGAAAACCTTCAAGAATTCCCATTTAAAAACAGCAAGTTGTGTAGTGTGAACAGTACAGCGATCGGACAAAGTTAAAAAGAGTAAAGTTGACGTTGGGAATTTAAACTTTTTTTTCTACAGTGACATTTTTCTTTCAATAAAAGAAGATTTTTTTTGAAATAAATAGCAAACTAGCTGATCAAAGAATAAGTAAACAAGATTACACAGGATTAATGTTTGGTACTCGTCAGTGACACAGGCTTCAGTTGAAGGCAATGGGAGATGGAGCGTATATTCACAGAGATCGGTGCTCGAGTGACCAAGCTCTAACACCTCCCACACTCCAGCACCTGTGGGAATCCATCGAATGCAGTTTACTGCTGCTTCAACATGTTGTAGGTTTACAGGCTCACAACAAATTAATGAAAGAGATGCATCTGATTTGAGTGTCTAAAGGCAGAATGAGAAGGATTTCCTCAAGAAATAATGTATAGACTCAAACAAATGAATCAAATGTATTCTAGGGACCCTCTCCTCTGCCTGTATTTTCTTATTTTGCTGTGTTCAGGACATTTCTGGGCATCAACCTCTATGAAAACGTAAAGAGCAGGTACCAGATTGTAAGCCCAGATCCAAGCGGAAGCTAAGAAAATAATGGACACGTTGGAAATATGCAAATGTAGCAAGGCGAAACGCCAAGCCATTGTGTTCACAGACCGTAACCGACAAGTCCTTCTAATTCTGCCTTTATCCAAGGCCAAGGCCCAAGGGCCCAAGACCCTAATAGGCTCAAAAGTCTTGCTGCAAATCAGTTTTTTTGGGTCATTTAATCAAAGTGAATGAGCGCAACTTAAGTATATCAACACAAACCTTGAAATCTAGTTTCATAATCTATATACTCATTGATATTGTGCTCACATGGTAAATATTCCTAAAGTTGTGTTTAGTCAAATTCACAGTAAATTAATTGCAATACAGACAACTTCTGGGAACATAAAGTGATGGTTCCACTGAAAATAGCATTTTTGATATCGAAACATCAATACGTTTTGAGATTTTCTGTTTAAATAATCATTATGAAAATGTACACGGACACATACACACACGTGTATGTTGTCCAAAAAGCTGTGAAAACTATCACCCACAGAATTCGCAATATCTGCTCTGTTTAGAATGTACACATATATGTAGGTTATGTTAATATATAAATATGTTTATAGTGAACCACAAGTTGAAGTTTAAAATACTTCAGGAAGTGTGTGTGTGTGTGTTACTTGTTACATAGTGAGGACCGAAGCTTTGACTAAGTGAGGACATTTTGGCCAGTCCTCACTTCTTCAAAGGCCTGTTTGAGGGTTAAGATTTGGTCTTAAGATGATTCAGGTTAAAATTAGGTTTTGGTTTAGGTTAGGGTAAGGGCTGGGGTCAGGCATTAAGTTAAGGTTTGGGTAAGGGGCTCGGGAAAGCATTATGTTAGGGAGGGTCCACAAAGACAGAAATACAGGAATGTGTTGGTCTGTGTGTGTGAGTGTGTCTTTGTGAGTATGTGCGTGCGTGTGTGTGTGTGTGTTCACAGCAGCTGCTCAAGACTCTCCTCCCCGAGCTGTAATCAGTGGCTTAATGATTCTCAGCGGCTTTCATGTTCAACACTGTCAGCTCGAGTGTGTGTAATGTTTGATGCTCCGTCTAAAGAGCACACATGCACACACAAGCATGTTCACTCTCCAAACTAAACATTCTAGCTTCATGATAGCACTAATAGATGCTCATTGCAAAGTTGCACCCAAGAGAGGGCGGAAGATAAACGATGAAGGATATGAAAAAGAAAAAAAAGCGGAGGCTGAGGGAAGAAGAGGGGTTCCTCGGGAACGTGTGGAGTGTTTGTGTTGAGAGAAACAATCCCCCTTGGGAGAAGAGGAATTATTTCTCTCAGGAATAAGCGGGAAAAGAGGAGCGGGGGCCTTTTTAATGACCGCTCACCTACAATGCTGCAGCACTGACCAGAGAAAAGTCTTCATGTTTGCTTTTGGTGGGACACTAGGAGCAGTTTTGATCTGGTCAGGCTTTGACAGCTGTTGTGGCCTGGAGCATGAAGGCATGCTCTGGCTTATCCCCCTCGACTCACTAGCAGACCCTTAAACCCAAACTCTTCTTCTCTTTCTACCGCTCATCTTCACATCAACACCACCTGCTTTGTTTCTTCAGAAGAAATGCAGAAAGCAGAAGGAATTCTTCTCTCTGCTGCTCCAAGAATCATCATCGAACGTGTTACTGGACTGTCTAATTCCCAGAGAATCGTGTAGGGAAGAGTCACTCATGTCTCCGACTCTATATTTAGCCCAAGGAATTATGGGAGGAATTAATATACACAGACATGACTTAGTCTTCATTATTTTGGGGTGGGAGAGAGAGGTGCACTTATTGCAAAGAGAGAGAGAGAGAAAGAGAGAGAGGGAGAGGAGGACGAGAGAGATGGAGAAAATATTAAAACTAGCCTGGTTTCTTCCTCTCGTGTCCCATTTTCGTATCACAATTCACTGGGGGGGGGGGGCTACGTAGTCACGAGACTGAGGCAAAGCCAATTTGAAACAAAAACAAAGGTATAAATAACGTCACACATCATCCTCAGAGACTTACATACCAGATCCTGCCGGATTCCCTCCACAACAAACCGGGAATTAACTAACCAAGTGTTTACTCAAGTAAGTACAGAATTAATGTTTTACTAGGGAACTCGTGTAAGAGCCTGGGAAACAGTCAATATGGTAACGCTTGATGAACTTGATCAAGATAGGGTGATAACATACCGGTAACCTGATTGAAGCTCATAAAATGGTTTAATGTATTCTTGATGACATAATAATCAGTCAATTTTCCTAAAATTCTTTTAGGTTTATGCTATACTGCAATAATCATCTATTGATATCCAGTGGTAGCGATGTAAATTAAGTATTAGTGGGGCAGCCCTGTGTCATAGAAGACGTTTTGATCCAGTAATAATGTTTTACTATAAATATAATGCTGGGTGGATTATGTCCTCTAACAACTTAATGAGGAAACGCTGCTAATCAACGTCAGTATGTCCAGCATCCAGCAGCAAAAGTGAACCGCAGCTATGTCCTGTAGAGGCCCGCTGCTCGACTCAGTCCGCACAGCCATGAAGCTGAATTCTGTCCTTTTCCTGCACTCCTTTCCTTCCTCCACTTCCTCTCCTCCTGTCTTTCCTATTATTCCCTTCTTCCTTAGTGTGGCGTCCTAATGTTCTTCTTTCTGCCCTTCCTTTACTTCGTCAACTGGTCGGAAATCCAAGAAAATGGAGACAGAAAGTGTTCGCACTTACTTACTTACTTTGGGTACATTTTACAGCTAATACTTGTTTCTTTCTACCTGCGTATAATTATATGTATTAACATTTAATATGTTATCTGCGGCTCATTCCATCATTTATTTTACTATGCAGTGTACGCTTGAGTTTTAGACACTCATCTGCCACAGCTACTGTATGTTTTGACAAAACACTGTCTATCACCTAACACATGGCAGGTGGCAGACTGACAAAGTTGGAGAAGGTCAAACATCTGGCATCCATGTTGGACTTATATTCATCAAGTGGTCACAAACGCTCCAATGCGGTGATAATATTGCTCTGTGTCTGCTGGGTGTGGAAGAAGGCAACTTAGTAACATGTTAGACATGTCAGCAAATAATGTGGTATCTTTTGTTTGATGTTTTTTTTCCCGCTCATAATGGCCAAATATTGACATGTGAAGTACACGTTTTGAATGTTGATGTAGGAATGCTGTCAGTGTGTTATTTGTGCATTTAAAAAAATATTGAAACACGTTCCATTGTGCAGCTGAAGATGCCTCTGAGTCAGTACGCAGGACTGCTCTGGTTCCCAACATGAGCCAGTGAGACAGCGCTGTCTCCTGCATGGCTGCACCAACTGACCGAATGATCTCTTTAGAGCCGACTGCCTGCTGAGCATTCAGACTGCTGTACAAGTCAAAGATCAACCGCAGCAGGTTTTTATTTTTCTGGTAACTGGATTTCAATGTAAATTGATGCAGAATACACGTCTTTTTTATCTTTGATTGTAGGTCAGTTTAAACGTTTGGCCACAGACATTAGGTAAACAATGTAAGCCCTTTTCCTCTGTACAGCACACCTGTCCATTTCCATTTAGCAACCGCGCTGACCAGCAATATTGTTGCTCTGACTGTTGGTAAAACTGTGACCTCCCATCAACATTACTGGTTGGGCAGGCAACAAGAGAGAGAGAGAGAGAGAGAGAGAGAGAGAGAGAGAGAGAGAGAGAGCACCATTTTTTAAAGGTAAGTTCTTTATTGAAAACTAAAGCTCCTTAGTAACATACAAGTTAAAGGGTTAGAGTTTTGATTTCCGTTCATCTAACAGTCACAGGGCCTCGTGTGGTTGTTATGGCAGTATCTTGGCGCAGTGAGGTTCAAAGTAAAAGAGATGATGAATGCATTATTAGATCACTGAATCTGAGCTTTAATAATGGCCATCAGACCTTTTTAAAGCACATATTTTGACTTATAAAAGCAAGGAAACCACAGGTGTAATTGTTCATTAATTATTTAAACACTGCTGATACTTTGCACCGCCACGTCCCTCAACACATTTTTACATCAGGCCAAATATTAATATATACAGTATATATAAACAGTATATATTGCTCCAAATATGCAGTCAATGTCCTTTTGCAACCTGAATTTATGTGGCAGGCATATTTCATGCATAACTATAGGCGACGAGAGAGTTTTAGTTTTCTTATTAAGCAACAAAGGAGAGTGTGTGTATGTTCTCATGCACACAATGCCACTGCTGCAAATGTGAGATGTGAATGCATGTAAGCAACACATATAAACAGAAAAAAGAACATTTTAAATCTCAAGAGGAAATAGATTTTGATTTCCGGATCCTCTAGCTGCTCATGTTTCCTGTCATGATAGATTTCTTTGTAGCAATGTCACCATGTTCCCAGAGCTCAGCTATTAATGATGTTATATCATGCTATGAAATGCAAATAAGACTCAAGCTGAATGTTGAAAACAAACAAAAAAAGGCGTTTTCATTAGCCGTGAGAATTTGAGGAAACACACTCTGCTGCTCGGTCCACCTTTATCCATTTTGCGTTTAACATTGTTCATATTTTAGTTTAAATTACATTTTGATTCATTATTCAATTAATTTAAAAGTCTGATGAAGGCAATGTAGAAAAATATATTGTTAGTCTAATAACGTGTCGCCTTTTGCATCAGCATCCATAACTTGATGTGACTAAATGACACTCGGCCCATGCGTGATACTGGTTGTGTTACAAGGTTGCCGTGCTGAGACTGGGCCCGACGCCTAATGTCCTCTCCTCCCTCACTCGCTCCCTCCTCGGCTGCTCAGGCCAGCCAACACAACAAGGCTAATAGGGACATTTAAATGTCAGCATCACAGACATCTAAAGGAGAGCTCTTCCCTCATACGTATGCTGTGAATGTTTTCACCAAGATTTTAGCAGCAGCTTGTTAATGACATGTTCGTCCTCCATAAGTCAAGCACATCTAAACAGGATTCTGTGGTTTGCCTCATACCGACCCAGATGTGAACTGCAAATTTAAACAAAAAAGAATTGCAAACACGGTGTTGTCTTTTTCGCTTAATCTGCTCAATCATTCAAACAGCTCTCACAGATGCTCAGTGCAAGCATGAATCTCAGTGTTGTTCTTTTACAAAGCCATTTTTTTAAACCAGCACTTGTTTGGCCTCGAATATGGATTAAGGGCGGATGTGTTCCTCATTCATCGCTCTTTATGAATGAGGCTGCAGCTGAGCATTCAGAAATGTAAACAAATAGCTCAACATGAGCCTTTTTGTCCACCAATCTGCAGCAGTCGATCCTGAGATATGGGTTACCCGAAAAAAAAACGTCAGGAATAAGTAGACACTTCTTGGGCCAGACATGAACAGTAAGCATTACGTAGTGAGGGAGCTAAGGGAAAACTCACCTCTGTCAAACAAGAGCAGATAACTGAATAAGAACGGCTGTGATTGGCCGGCTGTTTTAACCCTCCAAACTGTCCAAACACAAGCAGCAGAGAAGAGAAAGCAGAGGTTGTGATTCAGTAATAGCAGGATGCGTCACAAGGTCACTCACAGTTTTCACCTAAAGGCCTGGATTTCATAGATCTTCGTGAATGCAAGAGCCCAAATACTACACCCTTAAATGCATGAAGAAAAGGGTCATATCTACGCTATTGTTGGGTAATTGGAACCCTGTGTTACAGGCCTGCTGTGTGGGCCAGGCCTGTTTCAATGCATGCATTATTATGAATGACATAGACTAGACACAAAAGGATATTGGTAGCCTATCACCGTTAAAGTGCAATGTAACATTGAGTCTAACATTATTAGTGTCCAGGCTTGCACTTATTATTACTTATTATTGTTATTATTATTCAGTAACCACCCAAACAGGCTTAAGAAAGGCTGAGCCTCCTCCTGCATATGGACACATGGGCTATTTGTCAATTTGCTGGAGAGCATGTTGTGGATGTGAACGGGCTCCTTTCCTCTATTAGTCCCATACAATGTGTTTCTGTTATCTCACACTGGATGCACATTGTGCGGTTGCAGTAATTGCGCAAACTGCGCACTGCGAGAAGCCGCTGAAGGGAAGAAGGCACCACCTCACTGAGCCTACGGGCGATAGATGCCGCAAGATCCCGGCACGCTTTATTTCCATCCTCCTCCCAGACACCCGTCAACACATCTACGTCCGCGCAAAATCGTGACGTTGAATTCGACACGGTACAATTCTAATTCATGCATTTTTGCAGAATCTTACCATTGTATCGATATTCCTCCAAAATGCAACTCCTGCTCTGTGGATACCTCCGGGCCGATGAAAGGCTGCGCTCTCAGCAGGGGACAAATCAACCCTCACAGGGCTGCGGAGGGACCAGACTCCCCGGTGGCTCCAGGCAGCGCAACTTCCACCCGAAAGGCAGTTTGGACGAAAGGTTGGGGACTTACAACCGGGTCAAAAACGCCACGAGTTTCTTTTTGCATGCAAATTCCGATTTCCGTATCAGTGTGCGATGTGGGTTTAGAGATTGTAGATATTTCGAGCAATTCTTGCTGCCCTGCGGATGGCTGCTCGCTTCGCCCTCCACAGAAGAATGCACCGCGCATTACAACTAACTCTCTCTCTCTCTCTCTCTCTCTCTCTCTCTCTCTCTCTCTCTCTC